ATACTGATGCGATTCGGTGATGTGATATAACTGTCAAAAGAGAGGCTGAGAACATGAACGCTATTCACGAAGATTAAAGGAAAAATTTGAATTTGAGGGGAAACATGAAGATAAACAGCAGGACAATACAATACACACCGCAAAATCGCAAATGGAAAACCACACAAAACGGAATGCTCAGTTGCTAAAGGACTGAAACTATTTGAGAAGCTTTCCGAAGCCGTTATGAAGACACAGGGATCAAACACAAGAATATTTCTTTGCTAATGCCATTTCAAGTTACCGTCAATGCTACCGTTTTCTGAACATCATAATCATTCAGTTCACTTAATAAGAAAGACTACAGCAGGTATCTCAACGGAGAGTGAAAAAGTCCTCAAAAGCTTAACGATCATTAGTTATGTGTGCATCTTTGTCTGTTTGTGAGTATGCATTTATATGTGCATCTATGTATGCTATGTTTCCATGTACGCATGTATGTACCAATGAATGTACGGATGTTTGTATGTATTATCGCATGGATCTATGTATGTAAATATGTTATGTACGTACATTATGTATCATCATGTATATATAATCTTTTCGTAAGTCACAGATGGGAAGACAACGCATAAAATCTTTTGGTTTCGGTTTAAAAAATAGCTGTTTCAAGAGATTTTTTTCATCGGAAATCAGACAGGTTCTTAAGAGAACTAATGGGTCAGACCACTTTGTGTTCAATAAGCTGGGTTCGTCGGATTGGAATTCAGTGTGTCCATTTGCCTCGACACTTGGTTTTTTGCAGATACTAGCTCTTTATCTTATAGTATTTTATTAAAGTATTTTCTTAGGAATCGTAAATGATGCGAAAACAGTAAATTAGTACAAGAACCTGATTCCGTCAGGTCCGTGGCAAAAGTAAAGCAATTATCTGGCAATCTGAAAATTATGCAGTTAATGTGCAAGATGAACATGATGCTTGACGATGATTGCCTCCAGCTGGTACTTCCTGGATTTGTTTTAATGTACGAAATATCCTAAATTAATGTTGATGAACAGATCCGAATATCAGCAGACAACCGAAGCGCGGTGGTACAGTCGTAACAGGCCAGCTTAGAATTCTGCTGAACGTACTACCTTAGTCGTAACTGTAAGTACCTTTGAAAAAAAATTAATCGGACGTTACTTCGGCGCATCCAGTTAAGAAAGTAGTTAAGTTGTGACCATTTCTGAGACCCATGGTGTTCTGGTCTTGGTCATGCCAGGCGGGCAAGAGAAATGGCCGCGTTGCCTAAAGCGAGTGCTTATTAGAGTCGCCATTCGCCTCCACCCCTCTGATAGCTGAATATTAAGTGTAATTATCATTACACGCAGAAAATCGTGTTGTTCTGAACCAGGGCAGAACGAGGACAACTACTGATGACCGCAATTCTAGGCAGCACACAAATATCGTCACCCTGAACGAAGTTTACTTGTGCAAACGGAAACTATTGTTTGGGGCGGTACGCGAGGGGGATTACATGACACTCAGAATGCATTATGAACTAGAAAGCTATTGAAATGGATGCAATGATGGTCAACGAAGTTACAAAGTCATGTCTACAGAAATATGTGACATAACGGCCACAGCCGGTATTTGCCATGATCATCAGAATCTGATCTTCAAGCGTCATGACTTACTTGAACAGTCAGGCATCTAGAAAAAAAGAACACGGTCCGACGACATTTCTACTGTTCGTAAATCTGAAAATATGCACCACCACTGTAAGTGACTGCATTTTTTCAAATATCTGATGTAAAAGTTACGCAAACGTATTATCGTTAATGAAACAGTGTCAAAAGCATATACCTAGTCTAACGCAAATCTTAACGAAGCACTTGATGCTATAACGAAGTCACTGGTCGATCAAAGCAAGCAACTAAATTAAACATCGAGATGGAAACAAGAGCTGAAGATGGAAACGAACTTCTGCAACCGTCGTCAGTTGGCAATAGGGACAAGAAAGTCAATCATAAACATAACGAAATGAAGAAAATTAGCAAAATGCTCAGAGATAGCCACATTTACAAACCAAACAGCAATATACCAAAGCTAGCTTGCAACGATGTACCTCAGGCTGCCCTAGTACGCTTAAGAAATCAATCACGATAGTTCTAAGCAGTC